GGAAAGAGCTTGTGTTTATGTTCTGGGAGGGGAGGCAACTGGTAAGCATGTCCAGTTTTTGAGTATGAGTGGGAATCTTCCTCCAGCAGCTGCCCTAGATCACATATCACTCTAGGACCCAGTGTACAAATAAGACATTATATCTAAAGAATTAGAAATATATTACTTAATTTCTTCAAGTGGAAAAGTATTTGTGCAGCTACAAGATGTTTGGAAATTTTTATATTTTCCAATATTTTACCATGTTGAAAGTTAACTACCTAGATGCAAATTTTCAGGATCATCTGCCCCACTGCTTCTGTTAAGATACAGACACAATTCTAGAGTTTTCAGTCTACAGTCCTCATTAATTCAGCAGTGTGCACAGGGATGAATGGGATCGACAGGGCATCCCAATGGAAATGGGAGTCATTCTTTGCTCTTCAGGAACTTACAGTCCAGGAGAGAAGATTATAGTATGAAGGTACTTTTTAATCCTTCAGAATAAATGGGAACTAGCAGCTCTGTAATGACTTCAGTTAATTTTTTTTTTTTTTTTTGCACCTGGGAATTAAAGTTACTAAGCCCTAAAATGCTGAACATTTCTGGCTTATTTGAATAGCCAATTGCTAAGTCGTCCTCTTATCTCCAGCCCAGGCCCCATTGCTTGCTTCTATTCCCATTTCCCAACTGCATTCCATTTTTTTTCTGACTTTAAAATAATAAAATTCAGTACCCCTTTTTGATCAGAGTAGTTTATGATTGCTATGATCAAATTTCCTCTCCAAATGATAAAGGACCTATTATCCATTAACTGTCTTTTGTTTCTCACATACTTATGGAATGCTATTCTGTTCTCTTGTAGGTTGCATCTTATTTCTTAAATTGACTATTCTGCCTTTATCCACATTGGTGTATGCCAGTTCTCCATGTACCTCCTTAATCATTTGCCCTTGCTTTTACTTTTTATTCCTCCTATTTAGAATTCACTTCCCAATGTGGTTATTTAGTTAATGAGACTTTCCTCTAAGTTTATTCCTTCTGTTTTTGGGTTTCTTTTCTGCTATTTATTTTTCTTTCTTGCACATGTTCATGCATTCAAATAATTCATTGCAGTCACTTCATTTGGGTGTCTAGCTGTCCTGTTTCTTTTTGTTCTTCATGCTGTCTAGTGGGTTTTTAATAAAAATTTACCTAAAATACTTTTATTTGTTCTACATCTCTCTCCTTGGTTTAGAAATCCTGAGTTCTAATCAGTGTCTAGATGGTTTATATCTTCAAATCTGTAACTAACTCTTAGCCTTACAACAACTGTGTTAGTTTACTGATGAGCCAGGCAGTGCTAGAAGAAAGGGAAAATATTGTTATATGTGTGCACTGATCTTTTGATGTAACATGTAGCTTTCTTGACATTTGATGGAGTTTCCCAAATGTCTTATTTGAAGATTTATTTCCTTAAGGATTTTTGTATAAGCTGATTCTTGAGGTGGTAGACATTTACATGATAAGACTTGACCAATTCAGGGAAAGAGCATTGTGTACAGGCTTTAAGTTTGTTTTCTGAATGATCACATCAAAGACAAACCAAACTGACTCAATGCGAATTCAAGGAGTCATTTCTGTGCCACTCTTAAGTACATGGAGCAACAGTTTGTTGCCTCCTTTTTTTATTTCATTTTATGACACAGTTTCATAGGCGCTGGGATTCGCCCAACCCACCCCCATACCCTCTCCCCATGGTGGTTTTCTCCACCTCGTTGCAGTATTACAGTTCAAATCCAGTCATGTTTCTTTCATTGCTGTCTTTTAACATAGGAGCAACTCAGAGCCTTTACCAGGTTAAGATCTGAGCCTTACTATTTTCTAACTTCCACTTGGGAATAGGAGTAGCCCTAACAGCCAGCCACCCTGCTGCATAAACTGAAATTAAGCGTCATTAACAATGCAAATGTAGAAACCCAAAGCTTTTTATCTGAACCGATTAATTTTATGGACTTGCTTAGTATGGATATGCTAAACACATTATTTAGGCGTTGGTTTACAAAGAAAGTGATGGGAAGTTGGTATATGGAAAATATCTGCTACATCATATATTTTTTTCATATCTATGTGTGTGTTCTAACCAACCTCGTTTAAATTTAGATTAGTCACTCTTCCCCAAGGGGACTCTTAGCTTCCTGGTCCAATAAGCTGCAACAGCTTCTACTTCTAGAATAGCATTACATTTTGTAACATCATGTGGAAAAGAACTAGAGCTAGCTTTTTTTTTTTTTTACTGAAGATGATTATGAAAGCTTTAATCTTAGACCATATTTAAGTTTGTATATGAAATTGACATTTTTAGGAGATAAATCTGAACTCTGTGTCTCTCGACCCCAAATTATATTTTGACGTTAAATACCACCTTTGCATCCAGTACTGTAAATTGCACTGCTGGATTGGATTTTGTGATGTATATTAACTACTGTCCCTTTCCACTTTTATCAGCCACTCCCTTAAGGAGAGGCAAGTGAAGAACTTGGGAATTAATAACTTAGACTCCAGCAGTGATGTCATGTGATGAATTTCATTCCTAACAAAATTTGGATACATATGTTACGGCTATGATCAGGTAGAATTCTTCAGGAAGGAAGATGTAACAGAAATGTTCTAGTCACATGACTAACTAGTGTTTCTCCCCAGCCCCAATTCCTCCTTTTAAAATTGCAATGGTGAAGAAGCTAAAATATCTAAATGTATTTCCTAGCACTCAATAAAATTCACCAAGTCCTAACTTTTCTGAGGATCTTATGGCCCTTTAGGAGAGTTATGTTCTATAAATATATTTTTCTATCCTGTTTGTTACTTTATTGTGTTCATTTACTATGCATCAGGTATTTATCCATTATCCCTGTTGACAGTGAGCTCTTCGAATGCACAAACATTGTGCTTCAAAGTCTCTGTTTCCAGCCAGTAGCACAGTGTGTGGCACGTGCAAGTTATGTGAGTCTGGACTCCTGAGAAACAGAGACCAGATGAATTAGCATCTAATGCAATATAGAAGGAAATGTGCACAAGATCTAATGGGACAAACACTGGTGAAGGAGAATGGAGAGAGAGCTGAGGGGGAATCAAGTCTGATACCTGTGAAGCAGAGACAGGAAGGAGAGTTGAGTAGTGCAGTTTTTTGGGAAAAAAAAATAATAATCTGGCAAGCTTAATGGGAGAGTTTTCAAGCCAAAGAATTCCCAGTGAGCCAAATCCTGCATCCCCTTGAAATGAAGATCTTTCCCATACTTATTTATTGGCTAAGAGCAGCTGCTGGAAACCATGACATCTGAATAACATGGTGGGTGAAACTCAGAAGGCAGCAGGTGGAGCCATTTGTCAATTACATTTCTCACATTAGAGCTGAGGTATGCATTCTCATAACCATCACAGAAGCAAAAGAATATGTGATTGGAGAGACAGATTGAGGAGAACAGGAATTGTAGAAAGGAAAGGAATATTAATATCTGCTGACCCCTAACCTTGGCTAGTGTTGGAGAAGAGCATAAAATCCTGGTGATTGTCCTTAAATATTATCTTACAAAGAAGTCTTCCCAAGTTATCATAAATAGAATAGTCTCTGGTAACATTATTTTATATCACCCTCATTTTTTTAAAAACAAAAACAAAAAATGGGATTAGTGTCATGTTAGGCTGCTGCCTGTTACACTAACATTCCCATATGGGTGCTAGTTCAAGAGCAGCTGCTCTACTTCTACTGATCCAGCTTCCTGCTAATGGCCTGGGAAAGCAGTGGAGAATGGCCCAATTGCTTGGTCCCCTGTATTCACCTGGAGACAAGGAAGAGACCCCTTGCTTCAGACAGGCCCATGCCCTGACATTGGGGCCATTTGAGGAGTGAACCAGTGGATGGAAGATGTTTTCTCTGTAATTCTTTCAAATAAATAAAAAAGTGAATCTTCAAAAACATAAAAGATTAATAGTTTGCTGAGGTAAAATTGCTATTGAACAAAATATACACATTGTAAGGTTGTAATTTTATTGTTGTGAAGTATGAATGTATTCATGAAACTTTTTACCACAATCAAAACTGTGATCATATCTCAAGCCTCAGTGTTCTCTCATCCCCCTAACAAGCACTGCATTGTTCTGCCATTGTAAATTGGTTTCCATTTTGTAGACTTATATATAGAAGTTGAATCATTAAGTATGAACTTTTGATCTGTTTGCATTAAGCATAATCTTTTGAGGTTTAACCTTGTGAAAGCATTTATCCATACTTCATTTGTTGCTAAACAAAATTCCACTGAATGGATATACCATGGTTTATTTTCTCTTCCCTTTTTCTGTAGTATTCGTCAATACTTGTATTATGTTTCTACTTTTGTTTGCTTTCTACAATATAAACAATACCAGGGTAGGGATTTTCCTTGTATGCTGTTGTAACCAAATATAGACTGTATACTTATTGTTAACACCAATGAATGTATGCAGAGGTAATCTGTATGTAAATGTATGCAAACCTAATGCTCTGTGTCTTGCTTTGGGCCTTTTTTTAGGACAGCGCCAACAGTAGTTTACTATGATATTGATGTTTTATTCATTTATCCCATAAAGCAACATTGGGTTGGCTGGCCATAGATTGCATTTGGAAATCATCACTGAAATTTCAGTAACTTTTTTTCTTCTTAGTTGTGTTCTGTTTCATACTTTTATCAGTGAAAATTATGGGAGTAAAATTGAACTTTTAACAAATACCTGTATTCAGTGACATTTGGTGGTATAATGAATTGGTTTATGCAGAATTTATGATTCTAGCCTTGGCAATTCTAATGGTTATTAAAAAATGAATCAGTCATATGGATGATGATAATAAAGACTGGATTAATTAAGATACATGCTAGTTTTAAATCAAAATTTCACTGTGTTTTGAAAGAAATGCATTGTTTTGCACTGTTTGTCATGTGTGTGAGCGAGCGAGCTACACAGAGAGAATTCTGCTCACTGAAATATGCAAACATTGTTTGTTTCAGGATCAGATTTGCAAGTCTGTCTCCCCAAGGGCCCGACATGCTGTTCCAGAAAGATGGAAGAAAAATACCAACTAACAGCCCGCTTGAACATGGAACAACTGCTTCAGTCTGCCAGTATGGAGCTCAAGTTCCTAATTATTCAGAATGCTGCGGTTTTCCAAGGTGAGTTCTTAGGATCATTTTAGATGTGTTGCTCAGTGGCACCATTATTCGGGCACTAGGCTTTCAAATGCTAAGTATAATTTATAAATTACCATTCCAGAACTAATGCTTGATACACCCCCACCCACCCACCCCTTTCTCAGTGAGAGCTCCTGGTTAAGGAAAAACACAGTTTTTAAAGAAGCTTCATTTCAATCTTTCAATAAGTAAGTATTGTCAGAAATCATGGTCCAAGGATGATCTGTTTACCTCTATGTGAATGTTATATATCTCTGCAGATACACAAAAGGAAACCAACTTTTTTTTTCAACTTTTTATCTGCAGAAATATACTACTTTCAGCTAGTCCCTAAGACTTGCTTAAAAATCAAAAGTGGTTTCCCATGCCCTGAACCCACTTTTCTCAGGAATAAGTTAGATACTTGTGGACTACCTTCGAACTCCTTCTGACCACTAGGACCTTTGAAGAGGGAGAAACTGGCTTGTTGGCTGGACTTTGTCTTGGTGTGTGTGAGTGGCTACTTCTGTCTTTGTGAGTCTTGGTTCTTAGCATGCCTGTGTATGACTGAAGAACCTCTAGAGTGGATAGCAACTCAGATTTCTCCTATCCAGCTTGTAGGACTAGCATAGGAACATGGAGAGGAACTCATTCACTTTCAAACCCCAGCTAGGGATGAGTATGATGGTGGTGGCAGAGGGGTTGTGATCATGTTGAGCACACAAAGCACTTAGATAGTTATATGTTTAAAGTGCTTTGTATATAGAGAGCCATTTTGTCTTGGTAAGATTCCTGTGAATAGGTAATAGTATCTACATGTTAACGATGAAACCCAAAGGAAGAAAATGGTTAACTGATTGTTCCAAGACCATGTAACTGGTAAACGGTAAAGGCAGCATTTGAGCTTGAGTGGCCTACTTGATAGGGCCTGTGATGTTAACTACCATAGTACACAGCCTCCTATTTGTGGGAGCATTCATTTTGGATATTGGGACTTCTGTATTTCTTCAATCAGATAGAAGCCACTGCCATTTTGTAGCCCTCATACTGACAGTGTTGAGGTCAGGTAGAAAAATAACACTTTTGAGCACTTGACATTACAAAGCTTCAGATTCATGGCACCTGTACAAGGAATCTCTTTGAAATGTGAGGCAGGTTGATTATAGCTTGTTTTGTGTATTGTAATGAAATGCTTAGAATTAGCTAAGAAATTATCCAAATTGCCTAATAAAGCATACATTCAGAACAGTTGCTTGGGTCAAAGCCTCAGGGGATGTTAGGTTGATTATAGAAAGTACAACATAAAAAGTTGAAGTATTTGTTAACCTACTTATTCAGTCACCCTCTTGTGAAGAGTTTGTTGAGACTAACAATTTGGCGAAAGAAGGAAGAATTTAGGCTGATTTTTAAAATACATGTACCATTCATGTAGTTCTCAGATTTGTTTTGGAGTTAATCTGTTGGCTGAAAGTCGGGTGATGCAAAGTGATATGAAAGTTAGGTTGAAGTACAGAGCAGAATCTTTCCCTTTGGAGCATCTGCGTATTGGTTAATTCCTAAAACAACCAAATGCACAGATACTTACTACCTGACAACCACTTTCTCACTGTAGTGGAGTGGTAGAACGAAGGCACTGACATTCCAGCTTGTACAGGAGCTTCAGGTAGCTTTCTGAGGAGCCTTGGTGTACTGATGCTTAACTCTGCTCAGGCCTGTACTATCAATACTGTTCTTTGTTTGTTTAATGCTTGAAACAGGGCCTGGTGTGATGACTCAGTGTTTAAATCCTTGCTTTTCATGCACCAGTATCACATATGGGCACCAGTTTGTGTCCTGACTGCTCCACTTCCCATCTAGCTCCTTTCTTGTGGCCTGGGAAAGCAGTAGAGGACATCCCAAGGCCTTTGGATCCTGTGCCCATGCAGGAGACCCAGAAGCAGCTTCTGGCTCCTGGTTTCGAATTGGCTTAGCTTCGACCCTTGTGACCACTTGGAGAGTGAACCAGCAGATGGAACATCTTTCTTTCTGTATCTCCTTCTCTGTAAATCTACTTTACAATAAAAATAAACTTAAAAAATAAATGTTTGGAACAACATGAGACTAGGAGATGTTCTGAATAGATTTTGCTAGGCTTGGCTTCACCATATGGCTTCTGTAGCATGGAAGCAAAGTACAAGTCATGTGAGCAGATAGTGGGACATAGGTGCAACATCTCTGGTTGCATCATGAGCTGCTCCTCCTGCTTCTCAGGTGTGGTAAAGGTTCAGCCCAGCAGAGGGACTTGGAGGCACCTGATTGATGTGTGAGCCCATTCTTGCCGGTACGCTTGCCTTGTGACCCTTGGATACTCAGTCTTCATCTTGTTTGTTTCTCCTTCCTTGTTTTCCTGCCCTACTTTTAGAAAAAAAAATAAATCCTTCACCAGAAAACAAATTAAGCATAACCTCAGCGCTCCCACATTTGTTCTTGTAACAGACATTTTGAGAGGTAAAACTTAAAACCAGGGGTCACTACAGGATGAGGTGTTATTAATCCTAAGGAAAAAAAAGAGAATTTCCATTTGTTTTCTTTTTTAAGCCTACTACTTATTGCAGATAATGGAATGGGGAGGGGCACAGTTGTTTTCTTTCTGTAAAATAATTCCCTCTCCAAGATTCTGCTATACAAGATTATTGAGAAAATTTTCCCAGTGCTGTGCTTGTAAGATATTTGATGTGAAAGCTTTGGTGAGCTATTTGCTCTATCACATGATGCTGGAGAAAGCTTATCTTGATCTTGGCCTAGATCCACAGTCTCTGTAGCATTCCTACCCAAGTCCACGTCAGGAGTATTTAAGCAAGGAGTGCTTTCTACAAATCTGTGCACAGTTCCACGAGCGATGCCTTCTCCTCCGATTCAGATTTTGGTGTCTTTATTTCAGGAAGCCTTTGCCCTCATAAACGAGCCCTGAGCCCTCTGCTACCGTACCAGGAGTGCTCTGTTGCTACTGTTTTGATAATGATTGAAACGTTAGAAAAGTTGCTCTTTGTTTCCATCTTTGCATTGCCTCGTTTCCTAAATTTAATTTACTTAGATGTTCTTAGTAAAACGGGACAGCATCATCTTGTTTTGTTTTGTTTCTGCTTAATTCTCTTTGAGAAACTCCACTGAAAGTAGATTTACTTTTCTCCCTTTTTTCTTCTCCTCTACCTTGTAATAATGATCCTGATAATAAAAGTAAAGATTTATTAAGAGCCTAATAAATGATGCTTACTTTTACATAATCATCTCATTACGTTTTCCCAACAGCCTTATGAGGGCTGTATTGTAATTATCACCGATTCACAGATGAGGAAACTCATTTATGCCACAGCTTCTTCCAAGCCGTCACGGGACACAGTCTTTCCTGTCCTTTGTGTACATGAGGTAGAACAGAGTTAGCCTTTAAGGATTTGTGTCCTGCTGAAGAGAAATGAGATGAGAGTTCTGAGTTTTCCATCACATTGCCAAATACTCCATGCCTTCAGGCCCTGAGTTGCGTTTTCATTGCAGAATTTCACTGTGATGTCCAGCCTTGTAAAATCAGGAAACAATTGCAGCATGTTCAAGTGTTTTTTTTTTTTCCTTTTTCCCCAATATATCTGATTATTCTAATCCTCCTCAAAGGTGCCACTGACTTTGAGACCAGATTCTTCAGAATACAGCCATATTTGCTTTTGTTCTAGAAGTTGCCTGTGCTGTAGCTTGAACTTCTTTTAAGATTTATTTTTATTGGAAAGTCAGATGTACAGAGAGAAGGAGACACAGAGAGGAAGAACTTCAGTTCATTGATTCACTCCCCGTGTAACTGCAATGGCCGGAGCTGCGTCAATCCGGAGCCAGGAGCCGGGAGCCTCCTCCAAGTCTTCCACACAGGTGTAGGGTCCCAAGACCTTGGGCCGTCCTGGACTGCTTTCCCAGGCCACAAGCAGGGAGCTGGATGGGAAGCGGGGCTGCCAGTATTACAACCGATGCCCATATGGGATCCTGGTGCATGCAAGGCCAGGACTTTAGCAACTAGGCTATGGCACTGGGCCCTGTATCTTGAACTCTATGAGAGAGGGAAAATAGTGAGTAAGCGAAAAATAGCTCTGTACACCTGAACTGCCATGGAATTGCTGCTGGTATAGTTGACTCACCTAAGAGTGCTTTGGATTGTTGCTTAGGGTCGCAGACAGTTGTGAATTAACAGTCCTGACTGGCTTGATTTTCTGGTTTCTAGCCAGTAGGCGATAAGCGGTAGAATAGGGCTTGGAGAACTCTAGTGGGAGGTACACATAAGCTGCAAGAAGTCACAAGTGACCCTGTGGGTAAAGGCCTAAAAAATGGATTTAAGAGCTTAGCACATGTAGCAGCCAGGGATATTTGCTAGAGCTGTATACCCCACATGCCTCAAGTAGCCTCATAGTGTAAGAGCTCCAACATGTTCCTAATGACAGCTGTGAATCAATAAGGAAAGATCAGACATGTTTATTGTTCTTAGTGATTCCTTCTTAGGATAGTTTAGAACAGTGAAAGCAACACTGGACTTGGAGCCAGAAAGTTCCCGAGTTCTAGTTCTGGGTCTACCTTTTTCAGTTTTCTGGTTTGGGACAGTTATTTAGACTTTGCCTCAGGTTTGTCATCTGTGAAATGGTGGTGCAAGTTGCAGTCCTGCTTTTCTGGTAGAGACCGTGTATGTGAAAGTGTCTGGAAAAGTGCAAAGCACCACCTGCCTGCATTATCAAGGCAGCTCATTTATGGATATTAATCTAGTCAAAGATGGAGTTGATGACACGCCTGAACAACTTTTCCACATAAAGATGAGATGAATACAAACAGCTGGCAGTGCCAGGGTGAGAAAATACTTAGGCAAAAGAGTCTGTGAGAAAGAGACTTATTTTATGCCCCCCAGAGTGTGAAGCTGTGCTGTGTGAGATGTGCTGCCTGGAGCAGTGCCTTTGTTCTGGCTCCTGAACTTTCTCTCCCCCCCCCCCCCCCCCCCC